CATACAAATCCATGCAACGCACGTAAACTCTATATATGTGCATATAACATCTACCTGTTATCCATGGTTGGGGACATCCCGGTGACGTTGCTATGCAAGATGGGAAAGGTACAGCACAAGTTATACCTTTTGATGAACTAAAGGAGAGTATTTATCAGCAATCATTTACTCACTAATGGTTGTTAATGATTTGCTTTTCAGCCCAGCTCTGACGCTCCGAAAATAGAAAGCCGCAGGCGCGAGAGGTTGTTATCCGGCGAGGTACGAGGAAAGGGTGGCCACCGCGCTTGGGACGCACAGCTTCCTCTCGCTGGCCGTACTGCTTCAGGTGTCGTGACCTTCCGCCAGGCCATGTCAGGCAGATGCTGGATTAGTACAAGTGATACGATAATGTGCCTAGTGTGGTGTGGTCCGATTCAACGACAAAATAAGGCTTTTGATAAGACCGTAAGCACATTATCAGATGTGTTGATTAAACGTGAATTATCTCCGCATTGCTAAGGATACCAGCATGTGTTTAACTGTACAATGATCCACAAAGCCCGCCTGTGTAAATTCACAGGCTATTTCCGATGAAACAGACAACACCAAAACATAAGTACAAAAGAAGGTGTCTTTCGTTCTGTGATTCGGCTGCTCGAGATGTCATTAATTAGCTTGATAAGTGATATGCTGATGAAGTCATGCTAATGTTTGGTGCCTCGCCTTTACATGCAAATAAGCGAATGATATTTATTCCAAAAGCAGCCTGATATGCACTGCAGAAATCGTCTGCGTGCCGTCCATAAGTTACAACTGGAGAAGTACCTATGACGTTGGCGAATACTGGCACGGGCTGCATTTTCGCACCATGTTATACTATCAACGTGCGCAGTTTAAGATCGCAATTAATCAAAATAAAGAGACAGCAGACGTTACCATCATCGGAACGTCAATAATTTTTTAGTAACGCTTTGCAGATTGCAGGCCATCATTGTATTTGGATACGACAATTATCGACGCTGGCGGCTGTTTGGACTTGAAAATAATTAAAATTTATATTCTTGTCATGTCTTTATGATGCCTCAGTAACTCTCACTAGTGCTTGTATTAAATCTAACTAACCCCAAGGTTTTAGAAAATGTTTCTTAAAGCATGCCCAAAGGTGGGACACTCCCTTTGAAGAGGAATTCAGTGCGTGGAAACGTGGCTGAGCTGTAGAGCCTGAATAATGTGTAGCATTGTGCTAATTATGATATTAGCCCCACGCTTCTCAATCGCTATGTGGTTGGCTTTGTTGCTGGCTAGGTTACGTTATGGCTTAGCTGATGCATTGGCCTTGGCTTGCTGTTGGCTTTGAGTGGGCCTTGCATATATTGGCATTCCACAGTTCATCTTCAGCTTCCTTCGCGTGGAGGTTTATCGAGTAACTAAGTGCAAATGTACACACCGAAAGGCAATTATGCACAGTCATCTGCAGCTAAGGCAGTTGAAAGGACATACGTTGCCACCAGACGTGCCGCAACAGATCGCCTCTAGCCGTAAGCCAGCTTTGCAAGCCGAACCTAGTCTGACAAATTTAACCAAGTTAAAACTCGCAATGAAATCCCCTCAGTTTTGAAGAGACATGTTTACGAACGAGCTATAGCCTTTCTCCACTCATTAGAGCCTGGTAACACGCGTTAATGTGCATGAGAAGCAAGGAAGGCTGCTTCGCGTGGTCGGAGTTTCCACGATGTGCGCTATTACCCGTTCTACCCCTTAGTTATACACCAGCGATTACGCGTTTTTGGATATGCTGGCTCCGCAGCACGAAACGCTGCCAAGACTGGATCGCATGGCCGAGTCCGCTGGATAATTATGAATGCTCACCTAGGCGGGTTTAACGATCAGAACACGCTGTTTCCGCAAAGTACAGCGCGACGGCGAGCCTTCCGGGAACAGCTCGTCGTTAGCGAGCTGCGTACAGTTTCCCAGTTACCTCTGACTCGGATCCCGCAATAACGTCCACTACGTAATTTTCCAAGGGTGCTACTACCGCGGTATTTCCTGGAGCCGGTTGGCGTCATTTGTAAAGTTAGGCTTGCCCGATTACCTCTCTGAACTAGGATACTTGCTGCCTGTGAGTCACAGGTACGAATAAAAAATTATTATACACATCGGGATGGAGGACACGGTAAAATGATTTGTGTAGTTCTTTGTGCCCAAAAAAGGAATCATCGCTTCAAAAACGTTAGCTTTTGTCATCCGTTTACAGTTGGTGCTACTCAGCTACTGCAAGCGCAGTTCGTCACGTTCGTCTCAAGTCACAATTGAGGCCAATGTGAAAGTGCGTTTTAAGTTGTTTTTCAACTAAGCTGAGACGTCACTGGAAATCTTAACAAACTAGGATTTGCGAATTACCTGATCTAAACATACTGCTACATCCGCTCCTGCACATATGTACTGATACATCGACCCTTACACACACTCATACCCCATGGTCATGTTTTTTGAACCCAACTTATACCATCCTTGCAGTGTTTGCCCACGACACGCCTGGAAACTTATATTTCGTTACTTTTCGTGGAATATTCCATACTTGAAGATATTAAGGCAAGCATCAGGTATGACGAAATAATGTTAATTATAACTTTTGATATGTACTTAAGTGAAAAGACTGCTTTAGACAACACGATTTCTCTGTTAAGTAGTCAGGCTCCTCAACACGACATTGTTTGATTACATCATCGTATCTCGCATAACACTGACTGAGAGCCAATTGACGTGCAAAAGGATAGCCCTTTCAACCAACGGGGTATGTTGGCACGTGCCGCGTGAGTCACGTACCACGTGAAGTCCATCACGATGAAACACGATGCGTTGGTCCACCAGCCCACACGGTCCTTGAACCTTCAAATCCGATATAGCAATTTGCAGCCAGCCTAGATTACAATGACAAATCCAGCATCGCGTACGGATAAACGCTAATAGGACCCTGATATCTTTTTTGCAGGCCTCAGACACATATCTGCTCGCGGCAACAGCTGCTGCAAGCCTGTGTAGCGGCACGAGGCGGCGTAGCTACGCTTTTATCATAGGGCAGACAAATTGGCGTCGAAGTTACGCACATTGAAAGTTGCAAACAAAAAACTTTTAATTCCCGTTTGTCACCACTTCGGCGCTATACCAGTTGACCACATATCAAGTATTTATTGGAATCCATGCTTGCTATCGTTTGGTTGATTGCGGTTTATTGACTGCCGCTGAAGAACACGATGTTTCAAATATTTTTAAGTGCGTAAAAAGAGAGTGGAGATTCTGTTGGCTGTATATAGGACTAAGCAGTAAGCAACAAAACTACCTCTCTCTCTCTCTCTCTCTCTCTCTCTCTCTCTCTCTCTCTCTCTCTCTCCTCTCTCTCTCTCTCTCTCTCTCTCTCTCTCTCTCTCTCTCTCTCTCTCTCTCTCTCTCTCTCTCTCTCTCTCTCTCTCTCTCTCTCTCTCTCTCTCTCTCTCTCTCTCTCTCTCTCTCTCTCTCTCTCTCTCTCTCTCTCTCTCTCTCTCTCTCTCTCTCTCTCTCTCTCTCTCTCTCTCTCTCTCTCTCTCTCTCTCTCTCTCTCTCTCTCTCTCTCTCTCTCTCTCTCTCTCTCTCTCTCCTCTCTCTCTCTCTCTCTCTCTCTCTCTCTCTCTCTCTCTCTCTCTCTCTCTCTCTCCTCTCTCTCTCTCTTCTCTCTCTCTCTCTCTCTCTCTCTCTCTCTCTCTCTCTCTCTCTCTCTCTCTCTCTCTCTCTCTCTCTCTCTCTCTCTCTCTCTCTCTCTCTCTCTCTCTCTCTCTCTCTCTCTCTCTCTCTCTCTCTCTCCTCTCTCCTCTCTCTCTCTCTCTCTCTCTCTCTCTCTCTCTCTCTCTCTCT